AGGAAACACAAGCAACAATTAGGGAGCACTAATTGCCTTACAGTCAGCATTTTATTTAACTGGCACACCACCATGGAAAGTTAAAAGGAGAAAACTGAGGCCTCCAGGATTTAAGCAGCACAGCCAGGATTTGAACAATGACTTGATTCTAAAATTACGCTCTTAATCGCTATGCTCTCTGGCAACTACACAAGTATTTATGGAGAAAATAACCACAATAAAGATAGATATATAGGCGGTGACCAGATTGTAAAGGGTAATGAATGCTACCTTTAGGACTGTGAATTTTTAAATATTTTCATGACACCCCAGAAAATAAGGAACTAACAAAATCCAGTTTATGTTTTGAAAAAGTGAACTTGGCTATACCACCTAGTGTAAGAATTGCTTTCAAATATACAATTTTTTAACAAATTTTTACCATCATAGTATTTTCAAGTTTAGTATCTGTTGANAATATACAATTTTTTAACAAATTTTTACCATCATAGTATTTTCAAGTTTAGTATCTGTTGATTGAAACTATATACAATCACCAAAAATGCATATAGGAATTTAGTAACATTTTCAAATGAATGCTTTTGCTGCTCTACATACATTTGAAAAGCAGTAGTACAAATCCATGAGACCCTTCATTTAGCCTACAGACAATGCTGATATGCACTGAGGATTCAGTACCCCAGGCAAACTCTGTCAGACCAGACCACAAGTTGGCAACCACCAGCAGAAAAGAAAGCAGTTTTTGGAGAATGGGGGAAACCATTTAGAAGGATTTTGCTAGTATCAATGGGGAACCCACAGAGTACAATTCTTTAAAATATTTAGCACCAAAGGCAAACAAAGGAAGTCAAAAGGTGGTGACCAGCACAAACCTGGAGGATAAAAATTGGGGCAGGTGAAGGAACAGACCAACTAGAAGTGAGCGGGGAAGGACTCATTCTGGTGCCAGAGCTGGCAATGAGCTCAAGTTGGCACCTCTTAGGTCCTTTTACAGGATGACAGTGATACTGAAAGGATCAAAGCCAGAGATAACAGGAAGGGCAGGTGAGCAGGAAGGTGGTGAATTAAGTCAGTCTGTTCTACTGCAGCCAGAAAAATTATTGTATTTAAACGTCAACTTAGACGGCAACATTCACTCAGACTGGAAACGTATCCAGCCAATGCAGTGAGT